GTTCTGATTGCAGTGTGACAGATGAGGTGAATGCACGAATCTGCAAGGCTCGGGCCGCGTTTGCTAACTTGAGACACCTATGGCGTCAGAATGGTTTATCCCTGAATCTGAAGGTATGTGTGTATCAAGCTACAGTACGCGCTGTTTTGTTGTATGGCTGTGAGACTTGGCTATTCGATCAGCGGAGCTCAGACGTCTTCAGGTGTTCGACAATCGTTGTCTCAGAACCATAGCTCGTGTGGGTTGGTGTCGGCGAATCCGTAACGAGGCAGTTAGAAAGCGTCTTTTCGGTTGTGTAACGGGTACTTCCATTGAAGAATGTGCCCAGCACCAGAAGTTGCGTTGGTTTGGACATGTGTTACGTATGCCGAACCATCGTTTGCCGAAGAGAGTACTGTTTTCCATGCCCAATTCGGAGTGGCGTAAACAGAGAGGTGGCCAACCCTTGACTTGGCAGAGGAGTATGAAGGAGATCACGAAACGCTTGGGTGCTGTCGGTGCTACTCGCCTTCCAGGATGGGGACCTCGTGATCTTCACTGTGCCTGGTTGGAAACACTACAAGATATGGCTGCCAACCGATGTCAGTGGCGTTCTTGTTGTCAGTTTCTATCCCGATTGCCTGAGTAGATGTCTGGAGGTGTAGGCACCTCGGAATGATTGTGTTAAGCTAGCACTAAGTCCCTTCCCCGTCCACCTTTACTCTTTTCTTTACAATAAGGCTTTCAAATAAGTCATGGTTGTACGGCATTGAAGCATCAGTGTTGAACACTGATGTCATGCTGTCGATGATGATGATGATGATGATTTGTTCCGGCCTCCTAGACATGCGGACAATGTCACCGTTGCCACTGCTCCATCCCAGAACTGTCGAACGCTTCACCAGAAGTGGTTACCTGGAGTTTATCTGAATCAGTCGTATTTCCATGTTTGTTCTATTCCAAGACAAAGACTGTTTTCTGTTTCCTATTCCCCTTTTCTTCTTGTGTTCTGGTTAACTTTGAATGGGCAGAGAGCCCAGAGCACTAACTACTATTCTTATGATGGGAGAAAATCAAAGTCATGCTTTCTGGATTGAATCTGGTTTAGTGTGAGGGAATTTGTTTCGAACAAGTTTGATGTGGTTGCTAAACGGAGTTCGGTATGGGTACGTCGAAGCCGCAGTAGTCTGCGGGATGAAGTGCGAAAACACCCACCGATTTGTCCGTACTTTTCTATCTGAACCAGCCGATCGTCGGCGGAATGCAGTTATTGCGTCCCTGAGTTTGATGGATTTCGCAGCCTCGTATCCAGAAGTTTTTCTCTGTAGTTTCACATTAGAAACTAGCTTGACGTGGTTATGGACAATGAACCTGATTCGGCACCATGTCCGAGTACCTATAACTCACTAACATCCAGAACCACACAATGGCCCTGCTTGAAAAGGGAGTCTTGCTTTGCAAGACAGCATGCATAATGTCACCGAGTTTCATGTATGTTCTTGCCTGGTAGGATGTTAGATAGCTCAAACCCGTCCTGATAAATGATCCGCTTACCTGTCAGTCCATGACAGAACCTCGGGACGATGGAATGCATGGTGTTGTATTTGATACCTCCGCAGCCGCCCTGAGCATCCGTGGCGGAGGCTTGTAATGTGGATTCATTGAGATTGTGCAAGACGGAAACCAGTAATTAACCGAACTCCCTCTACATCCGATTCTGTCCTCATTCAACTGCTCACGGGGCTGTCCGAAACTGTAAAAAATTGCAGTAAGAACGGGATTATAAACTGTGCCTTGGCAGATAGTCTCACCATTGAATTTGCATATAATGATCGTTCAGCTATAACACCCTTTCTGTGCCTGTCTACAATGCTACACGAGGGTTGGGATACTGTCAGGTTGCCCAAACCTAGACAAGAGCGATACAGGGGTTGGGGTCGAACCACGGATTTTCTGGTCAGTAAGTTCTCGCCTTAACCAATGAGCTACCTCGACCTCATAATTGTGTCTTGGAGCAAACCCCTCATAATAGTTCTCAAAACGATGAATGAAGGAAAGAAACTCAGGTATCGAATTTAATATTATGCACGTTCTCATTTGTTGTGGTTACTACCGTTTTCCTGTCGTTTCTGAGTTGGTGAGGTTTTCCCGTTTTTCTGTCGGAAGTGCTTAGCGGAAATGAGAGCCTGTTTAGGTAAAGTAATTGAGAAGCGCCTGAAGACAGCTCGGTGCTTAAGGTCCGATGAACCGTGGTTCCAACCCAACTTCTGCATCTTGACTACTATCTGGGCTTGAGCAACTTGGCAGTATCTCAGTCCTCTTGATTCCATCGGGTGGCATTGCAGCTAGGCACCGAACGGGTGTTACAGCTGAACGATTATTACTATTATTATTGTCAGGCGCCTTGCGTCTGCTTCATACACTGTACACTTCATTCATCCTCACTTGGAATCGAGACCTTAGTGTAGTGTGAATTCGGTTAACGGACAAAGTGGGATCAGTATTCTTCTCCCAATCTTTCTACGGCCACTGAAAGAGGGGGTCAACATATCCTGAGCAACCACATAGGTTAAATGGCCAATCGAAGCCCTAGGAAAACTCCTCCCCACTCCAACGCTATGCCGACCATTGTCAGCAAGTTTGGAAATATTCCCAACGAAATTTTGAAAGTAACCTGTTCCAAAGGGGACCATCAGAGAAGTTACTTTTGTTGAAGCCTTGGTTTGGACCAATTTACTTACAAGCAAGATGTCTACTAGAAACTGGGTACAGTTGACCCACGGCTTTTGTTTATACAAAACAAGAAACACTCGTTTTCCCCTTTAAAAATATTGAAGCAGCCGTGGAGGAAACTACTCACAAGATTGTCGTAAACTCTTCGACAGCAACCTTGTGAGTGGTTTTCTTTACGAGAATACACTGCGAAATCTCGTATCATCTGAAAGATGAGGCGGTCTTTATGGAGCACACTCAGTTGAAGAGTCTCCCGTGGGAACCAAATTGATATTCATGGACTGACTTCATCTGTCACACACCAGAAGCGCAACCTTACACTTTATGGGTGCAAAGCCCATGCCGAAAGACGGGATAACTTTGGTCAGTCAATCCAAAAACACTGCCTTCTCCACCTCTTCGAAGTCGAAAATGATGCTGTAGATTGACAAGGTATTCGCCAGCAGCTATCTAAACGCCAGGATTTTGAAGACATTCAAGCGTCAGTTCCATTATTTCGTCAATCACGAAGCCAAATAGGGATGGAGAGATTGGGCACCTCTGACTGATACCACTTTGTGTACGGAAGCTTTTGGAGAACTCTCCGCATAGTCTCAAGCCCGAACTTCTAAGAATACAAAGAACTTGTTATGTCCGGGCATTCCCTGTACAGCAAACGTTTCAAGGAGAACAGACCGTTCGACCGAGTCGAACGCACCTTTTGAGTCTAGGACTACTGAAATCATCCACGAACCTCTGAGACTCAGGCTGCGTCTACTCATTTGAGACAGTTCTGGCTACAAGGGGGCATATCCCCGAATCTCAAGATAGCTGCTCTAGACTGGTGCGGACGAATCCGCAACGAGAAAATTGGAAAGCGAGAGTTTGGTTCTGCAACAGGAACTTCGATCGAAGTGTGTCCAGTACCAAAAACTGCGGCAGTTAGGTCGTGTTTTGTGCACACTGAATCATCATTCGCGAAAAACTGCTATTTTCCGTGCCCAGTTCAAAGTGGTGCAAGTAGAGGTGGTCAACCTTTGACCTGGTAGAGGGCTACGAAAGCTTCTGCAAAAAACCGGTATGGCTGCTTATCGATGTGAATGGCATTCTTGTTTTCAGTTTCTATCCAGATTATCTGAACAGTTATCTACAGGTGTAGGCGCATTGTAGTGGGTTAGCTTTTAGCTCGTTTTCTCCACTTTTCTTCAAAATCAGGCTTTCAAGTAAATTATGGTTGTATAGCAGCGAAGCATCGGTTTCGGGCACTGATGTCCTGCTGTCGTTGGTCTTGTGATGTTAGATTACCTCAATCTTTGGATAAATAGGCGCAATGTAAGTGGTGTGAATTCCCTTTGCTGGGCTGTTGCCGTTTTGCTCAAGACAGTGGGTCTTTCATTCAAATACCAGCTCATTAGCCACTGAGCTATCTCGACTGCAAACTAACCAAATGAATGACAAGCAATAGTTAAGGTCGTTATCCTAGGTTTCAAACATTTAGTCTCATGCTGTGATCCATTTTGTTCTACAACCTATTCGCTGAAGGCTGGAGCCGGGACACTGGCGAGCATACCATTTTTCCCACGATGATTAGATTGGGAGGTTGCGTGGCGCTTAGACAGTGGACAACGAAACTCACTTGCACTTTGTTGTATTCATCGTATCAACCATCCCATTCAGATTTAGCTGAGCATTTTTATCGTAATTGAAACGGGTAGGACATATCGCCCCATCTCTGCGCAATCCATGCCATCCATTGTCGCTTGTGAAATCAGCTGAATGACACTGTTGGGTGAGTTTGAACGAATCCAGCTCTGAAGCAGGGTGTTCTGGTCTTCGCTCGCAGCTGTGGAGGGCACAATACAGAATTTCAGATTTACTTATCGCTGAATATGAGCATCTCCTTTGTAAACCCGCCTTGACCAAATAGCAGGTAGGTTCCCTTCTTACCGAATCTTGTCAGATTTCGATACACCAGACAAATACATAGCCGTTTAAAAGCCTTTTATCAGACATCAAATCTACTGTAATGGCCTTTGTAGGGTTTCTTATGTGACCTGGGGGTCGATTGTCACGTACTATCGTAAGTAATCATCAACAGTCCGCCCCCGAATGCAGTTTGTGAAGATAGGAAAATTCACCCCAAAAATAGTCAATTCTGTGACTGTTGGGGAACATGAGCAATTATTCCGTTGCTCATCCTAAGCAGTCATTGATTCTCACTTAGCGACTGATGTTAACTTTTGGTTCGGGATTTCACGCCTTGACTAATTTTACTATTCGCGTATTTTGGGTAGACGAACTCATGTTCAATCGGTAAGGGATGGTGGTCAGTGCAGTAGGTCGGAGCTGCTCGGCCAGGAAATTGAGCGCCACGTTTGAGCTACTGACCAAAGTCTAGTAGCTTAACTACACTGTGGGACTCCCATAGGAAGCTCGACTTCTCACTGCATGATCCGCTTTTTGAGCGTTCAGTTCCCTTGCGGTTCCTCGGTTCTATTAGGCGTGATACAAGGTTTTAATGCCCTTTGCTATGCTCTATGCGCTTGTGACTGTCAGTCTACATGAGTTTGAAATCCTTCGGCTGTACTATAGCGATACAAATTCGTCTTCACCAATACCTTGAAAGAGTATATAGAAGTTTTGCAACCTGATCGTTCCACAAAATGGGGACTGTTGGCCTTGGTAAACAATACGTACCAAATCCCTTCCACCGGATGCGGCGAGCACATAAGCTTTCCCATATTATAGGAGTACTGTTTTGCCCATTTTACTATCAACTTTTCGTAGGAATACTACCACTTGGTAGCTAAGTTATGCATGAAATCATCAACTCGCATGACTTCACCATAAGGAAAGAAAGCCGTCCGAAACGAGTCTAATTGCGGTTATCTATCCACAGTGTGCCTAAATCTATCCTCAGCATAGATCGCACCGTACTCAGAAGGGAATTTGAAAACCGAAGATCAGAATGTGATCCTACAAATTTCCAAAAGTGATCATGAAGGACAGCAAGAACGCGATTTGATTGATTCAGTCATGGCACGTGAAGCGGCAAAGCCGATTTTTCGAGGGATACTCGCGATAACGTTAGATTTGACATAAATGACGGCGCAGTTTGAAGCACGATTATTTCTAACTTGTCTGTATTCTTTGTTAAATGATAAGGACTTGTTCTCTCTGTTGTAGCAACCCTTCTTGAATCTGTTTATCCAGTCCTCGACATGCTTACGTCACTTTTAGGACCAATAACTCCTCAAATTCCGACACGATGTCGTATGTAATTCAACCAAGGATAGAAATCGGCCAAACCGTCAACATGTGACCAACTCACTTCCGATCATTATCTAGACCGGGTTTTGTGGCTACCCTCAGGTTCTCACAAGTGAGGTGTGCCATAACACCAGAATTCAGGGGGGGAAGTTACCAGTTATTTCTATCCGGCCAAATTGACTAGGTCGAGCGTGTTCCTAAATTCAGCGAGTTATCCAAACAACCAAAGTTGATTGAGAAAGCGCTAAAAAGCTCGAGTGGACTTTGTTCACACTTGTGTCTCAAACTAACCAGGGCTCGCACTCAGTCACCTAGGTTAAATATGTTGTTCAACCAGCGTAACACTGAAATGTTTGGATGGGCATAGGCATGTCATTTAGTAACTCTATTATTCCTCCACAAGTGCTATCTGGACCAATGATTCGCTCCACATGCAACAGATTTTAGAGCATATTTATACTTACAAATTGCATGAACCCCAAATGGCACCGTGCTTTGAATAGCAAAATGTAAATGTTATCACCGTTTTTAGTGAAGTAATTAGCTGATTCAAAATTCGGGGGGGGGGGGGGGGGGGGGGGGCAAATAAGCAGAGGGGGGGGAATTCCAAGGG